AGCATAAATTATCTTTAGAAACAAACTGTAAATGAGGAATGCACTGTTGTGGTCCCTTCACAGTATGAACATGTTAAATGTTCATAGCTCAAGAGACCCATGATCTAAGCGGTACACATAGCTACCATAGTCTGGGTTTAGATTCCCTCTTTGTCTTGTTAATATCAGTTCATGTAAATAGGTAAAAATAATTTATATTTTGACTTAACTAAGAGATAAAAGGAGGGGGGCCTGGGTGGCTCAGTCAGTTGGGCATCTGACTTGTGGTTTCAGCTCAGGTTGTGATCTCATGGGTCCTGAGATTGAGCCCCAAGATGGAGCCCCACATCGTCAGGCTCTACGCTCAGTGGGGAGTCTGGTTGGGATTCTCTCCCTCTTCCTCTGCCCCTCCCCCGACTCGAGTGCGCTCTCTCTCTCTAAAATAAATCTTTAAGAAAAAGAAAGATAAACAGAAAAATATTCATGGATTAAAATGAACTCTTAAAGATATTGTTATAGTGCTTTATATTTTTAGTGAGAATAAATTATTTAATAATCTTTAGTCCAGCTTTTCCTTTTTGTAACATAAAAATATTGAAAGCAGTGTTAATTGTGCATATTTTTAATCAAAATAATTTAATTTCTTGGTATAATTAACAAGGTGCATACAACTGATTCTTGGAACAAATATTAAATTGACATATGTTATAGAGTATCTACTATAAAAGACATTGTGCAAATATTATGGAAATATGAAAAAGATAATTGAAATCTCTGCCTTTGTGGACTGTGCTTTCATATGGTAGATGTCTTTGAGATGAAAATGCTCCTTGATATACTGCACTTTTTATGTATTGGGGGGATGGATTAAGTAAATTATATGGATCCCATCCAGTTTATTAACTCTATTAATTATGTGAATTAACCACTGGGACAGTAGAAATATCATTTATTAACTTATTTGTGTACCATTTGATACTTTTGGAAAATTGATACATTTATATCTACTAAATGCAACTGAAATGGACATTGTCAATTTCAACCTTAGACTAAACTGAATGTGACCCATTCTTTAAGAAGAACCTTCCAATCTTCCTAAATATTTACTAATCTAAGGAGCATAGATATCACTCAATATAAAGAAAAAGACCTTTAGAATGACATTAAAAGGTATTGCTCTCATGAATTAAGACACTTGTTTGATATTGATATTATACTGTCATTTTATGAAACTCCCCAAGGAGCTCCTCAGCAATATTTGGAATCCATACCTATATGCAACCCCAACAGAAAATCTATAGCTTGCACAAGACAACATTTCTAATCATGCTATCCTATTACAGATGAGATTCACAGCATAGCAAATGAAAGCAAGGCACTTAGAGCTGCAAGTCTCTGCATAGGCTACCTGGTGTTCAGAACAGCCTGGCTATGACTATTTTCAGAATGGGATAGTAAGGGGCGCCTGGGTGGCTCAGTTGGTTAAGCGACTGCTTTTGGCTCAGGTCATGATCCTGGAGTCCCGGGATCGAGTCCCACATCAGCCTCCCTGCTTAGCAGGGAGTCTGCTTCTCCCTCTGACTCTCCCCCCCTCATGTGCTCTCTCTCTTTCTCTCATTCTCTTTCAAATAAATAAATAAATCTTTAAAAAAAAAAAAAAGAATGGGATATTAAGACCAGGTGACAATTGTTAGGGACGGACTCTATCCAAGACAGAGCTCAACCCAATTCAGCAAAGGTTTACCATGAAGGAAAGGGTTAAATTAAATTGTTTATTGGTGGGGCCCCTGGCTGGCTCAGTTGGTAGAGCATGTGACTCTCGATCTCAGGGTCATGAGTTCAAGCCCCACGTTGGAGGTAGAGATTACTTAAAATAAATAAATAAAAAAATTTTAAAAATTGTGTATTTTTGCACGTGTTGAGAAACTCACTCCCTTGCTTCCTCAAAAACTTCCAAGAGTATTTAACTCATCTTTCAAATGAGAAAGAAACTCAGACTATCCTCCTTAAGCCTTCCCTAATGCCTCAGCTTTTTGCAGGTAAAAATTCCCGGCATTTCCCCAAAGGGGACATCCGGTGGTTGTGGCTATCTTTCTGAGGGCGCGGGAGATTACATTTTTCAAAAAGAAACAGGAGGGCCTGGATTATCTTTAAAAGGCTTAGAGCTTTACCTTATGGGCATTCGGGAGAGAAAATGAGGGAGAAACAGAAAAATCGAGTGAGAGGAAAAGAGAAAATAAAAAGAAGGAAAGAGAAGAAGGCCCAGGTAGTCAGGTACCATTGCTTGCTTTGCAGTCCCAGTGCAGCAAGACAGAGAAGGAAGCCATGCAAGTGCTTTCCAAACCCTAAAGGCTTTGTAAGCGGCACTGCTGTCCTCTCTAGCGCCCACTTCAGGCTGAGCCACTCCAGCATTCTTCCTTCAGTCTTCCTGCCCCCCACCCTTCCCTTCTCTGCAGGTTGCTGCATCTGGAGGATTTCCATGAAGGCTGGGGACAGTTAGGCATCTTGGATTTGGGTTCTGCCTTCTAGGAGCCAGAGGAGAGCTCGCAGAACCCACTGTGTATTTACACTGCAGCTGCCTCACTCGGCTAAGTCCCAGGCCGTACAGCTGCAGCATTTTTGGAAGATGCAAGACGGGCAGAAGAGTGAAGATCGTGCCTGCAGTATCTCAGAAGGCTGGAGTCCCTGAAGGATGAGAGCACAGAGGAGATGGAGAGGGGCCTGGCCAGTCCTCAAACAGAATCTTTGAGTGATATGCCAGTTCTCTCAAAAAAAGGCAAGGATTCCAAAGAAATTAACTGAGATGCAGAGAAGGCCAGGAAGGCCAGGTTAAACATTGAAAAAGGTGAGTATATTGGAGGTGAGGGGCAATAGAAAAGAGATAAGAAAGTGAGCTTACAAGAAAGGAGAAATTATATAGTGTGAAAAGGAATCCTTGGGACTCTCTTGAAAGAGGTGCTGGGGACCAGACAATTGTTTATTTGAAGACTTGAGCAATGTCACTGAGGATGCCAAAAGCGTAGGGAGAAGGAAACATTTCCACTCCACATTACTCTGTAATTGTTTATTTCATAGACTAGAAGTTAATTGACTTTTCCCTAGCTCTGTGGTTCTGGGCCTCAGTTTCCTCATCTGTAAAACAAGGGGTTTAGACTAGATGCTTTTGAAGGTCTCTGCCTGGTGTGACTCTGTCAGCCTATGAGCCAGGGTGTCTGACACTAAACATCTCTGAGATTTAGTACCAGATTCCACTGCACTACCCATTTATCAATGCAGTGTAACAACATCTGCACCAGTCATGAAGCAGATTCCAACTCTCAGTGATGACGGGGAGTATGGCTCAATTATGACAAGAGATTGATCCTTCTGACCTAAGTAAGGAAGGGAGGAACAGTGATTTACACTTTGGGTTTCCAAGGGGAGAATATTCTCGAATTTTTTATTTCAAATTTTATCCATTGTAAATTAGAAATTCCTTTGAGGGGTTCAAAATAGTTGGACTGACAAAAGGGCCAAGGGGCTGTACAATTAACTGCCTTATTTGAAGGAAAATTTATATCATTACAGAAATTGAATCTGCTTTTTCCATGGAAATCCAGCTCACACTGGCCATGCTCTTCTCTTGTCTGCCTGCCTCATGCCATTCTGTCAACTGCTTCAGTGCAGCATTTTCTGGAGTTATTAAACACCAAAGCTTAATGAGAGTGCACTTAATGGGTGAAGTATTCAATGATGCAGGACCCCCCCCCCCCGGCACACACACACACGTAAGCAGTTTAAATGATAGTGGGGATAAAATACGTTTTCACAAGAGTTTCATTTTTAATTTGTCTCAACATGAGATTCCTTTAATTTTTTTAAAAATTAATATGTAGAAATACAACTCCTTCCTCTTGTCTTCAAGTGGGATGTGACACACAGATAGTATCCACTTGTGTTTTCTACACCCACTAACATTTCCATTGCATTTTAGTCTCCAAAATATGGGCAGGAGCACAACTCTAGAAAAATGGATTCCCACTCTCTCATCTCACAGGGCACTGATCCGTGCAGTGCTGAGCACTTGCATGGAGCCTCACCATTTCCTCCAACCCCCACCCCCATTCACCAGTGCCCCTGCTTTCCACAGGGGGTTTGACCTTGCAAAGACCCTGCTTCATTTTCTGGGCAAGTTACAACCCATTTTAACTCAAAATACAAAACGACCTTTTCTCCTTTAAAGAAACACTACCAAATGTAACCCATCTGGGCTTACATTTCTCAGCCCTGTATTCCAGACTGAACACGGGATGCAAAGGCAGGTAACTAGTTTGGGTCTGACAGTTCCCATTCAGAGGCTCTGAGACTCAGACTCTGTTCCAAACGGCTGACTATGTGGCTGAACATCTTTCCTTTTTTGCCCATTCACCATCATGACGAAAAATCAAAACTGAAAAATTATCTACTCATTTCTAAATACTAAGAAATGTTCTTCTTTTGCCCCTCGCTCCATGGTTCTAAACACTAATATCCCGCTTGGAAACCAGCACTGATATCCACACCGCATCTCGTCTACTCAGTTTCACTTAGCAAACACCTTCACTGCTTTTCCACGGTGAGAAAAATGGTGCACCAACCCCCCGGATGACAGGTTGGTACTTGACTGCAACCGCTCAATAGTTTTATCAGCAACCGGAAAACTTCGCAATCGGTCAATTTGCTACTTAAATCCGTGTAAGGAAATCTCCTTATTTATAGGCTTACACTAAAAAACCACCTCTGTTTCACCTATCTTAAATCTAGCCTAAGACAATCCCCCAAACACGCCGCATATAAACACTCCCCCTTCCCCCACCCCCATTATCCCAAAAGATCCCCTCACTGACTAACAACACATTCAGATGGCCAGCATTAACCAAAGCAATTGCCACCATGCATTTAGACGCATCTATGCAAAGTATTGACAATAGCCAAAGCATCTGTCAGACAATTGGCTGTACTACACATGCAGAAAAGCAACGAAGATTGCATTTTCCACTTACAGTTATAGCGCTGCGCACGGTCACTTAATGAAAATGATAAAACTCAACAGTTCTTTATATATATGTATAATTCAGATAAACGGTTAAGCCGTCTCTGTGTGTGGTTCTCTCGCGCTCTTTTTTTTTTTCTCTGGAGCTCTAGGCTGCTTAAATCCCTCTTGGATCGCGCCTCGCAAGCCCAGCCGCCGCCGCAACAAGCTCGGGTAAGTCTATGCTGCAGATTGGGAATCCCATAGAAAACCTAAGGTCCCTGGAGCTGGGTGCGCAGGCGCGCGAGCCACCGCCTCTCGAGGCACCCCCTCCCCTTCCCCTCCTCCCTCCTGCTCCAGCTCCGCAGCCCGAGCTTGGAGAGCTCAGGAGCCGGTGACCAAAAGCAGCCTGGCATTGGCGCATGCTCAGTTGGAGGGGCTCGGAGTTCCCGCGGGTGGATTCCATGTCTCCAGATTTTAGCAGAAACTCAAAAGGAAAGTACATAGGAAAAGGGAGCCTGGCTACCGGAGCTGCCTGCACCTGGACAGGCGGTAGGGAGAGCAAGTTGGGCTCACCACACTCCGCCGTTATGGAGTCTGATGATGAAGGCGAAGGCCAGATATGGGACACTTGGAACCTTCTATTCCCACGGTTCCGAGCCCTAGAGGGCCCTCGGCCCACCTTTTGTCAGGCTGTAATTACGGTGATGGAGAAAACTGCAGAAATCCTTTTTCTCAAGAGGAAGTGTATCCCCAGCTAGCTATGAGCCTATCTGTCCGGCTCACTGTGAAGGAATGGTGGGCACTTTTCGTGGGCCATTTCATCCGAGGGTCTTAACCTGGGAGTACTGGGAGCCGGTCCTTCTCATACCCCAGTGCCCAGGACCGTCCTTCCAGAGCGGCTAGAGAAATGTAGGTTGAAGGAAGCTGGGTCCGAGGCTTGCCCTGTGTGACCTTGGGCAAATCATGCTAACCATCAACGGACATTTAACAAGCGCCTGCAGTATGCAGTTAATAAATATTTATTGAATATGCTCGGTGGGAGGGATGGATGGGAGGGAACAAACCATCCTTGGAATACAGGGTAGAGGGCTTGGACTAAGTGATATTATAAAGCCCACTTTTGTGTCCATTAAGGACGCCTGCGTGTGCTAGCCCTACCCCTCTCCCCACTGTCCTGCCAAAGCCTAGAAGACTTGGCAAGGAGTAGTGCCCAGTAAATGTTTGGTCCCTTCCCTACCAGGAAAGCAAGAATTCCCACATGTTCCCAACCTGATCAGGTTCCTCAAGTGTGTATGTTTGCACATTCATTCATTCATTCATTCAATAATTATGCATTAACCAACTACTTACTATTAGCCACTGTGGGGGATAAATGCAGTGAACAAACGCCCATCCTGAGATTTACATTCAGGTGGGAGTTCTATTTTCAAGAAGGGGAGTTCTGGGGGCAAAGTGAAGGTCTAGGTTCTCCTTAAGTAGAGACCTTTACAATTTCACACACCTTATCACGCTCAGGAAAACTGCAGTGTTAATAAACCTTTTCGTTCTGAAGACACCAAGAGCATCTCCCATGGCAGAAGGGCTCTAGACTGACAAATCTCCGTTGCCAGGAGGGAGCTACTCCTAGCTACCAAGTCGGGGAGTCCAACTTGGAAGAACTTGAGGATACTTTAACCAAGACCAGGAGAAACTCCACCCCACCAGTCTCTGGCACTGGAAAAGGCTTGGGCTCGGTGAGAACCCCCCGTAGTGAAGCCCAAGCTGCAGCCTGACGTTCAAAGCCAACCTGGCGGGCCCAGAGCGCAGGATTGCGCTTTCCTGGGCCACACGCCTCGGGAAGGTGGCGCAGAGCGTGGGAGCGCTCTCGGGACTCCCGGGATAGAGCTCGCAGAAGTCCCCTCCCGGCGGGGCTCTTCCGCGAGGTGCTGGCGACCTCGGAAACCCGGCGCGCGGAGTCGCGGGGAGCAGGGCGCGCGCCCGGGCGCGCTGCGGCAGCTGAGCACATTGAGAGTCTGGCGGGCGCCAGCTCCGCGCTCCCGGGCCGCACTGCGCACTGCGCAGCGGGGCTGGTCGGCAGATTCTTTTTGTTTCTTGGGACGAGGTGGGGGCAAAAGTCAGTCCTGGATAAGTCTCTGGTTGGCGGTGGAGACAGCCTCCAAAGCTTTCAAAGTAATTTCTCGTTTTTTGTCGATTTCCCCTACTAAAGCGTTTTACGCTGGGCTGTCTGGTTTCTCTCTGGAGAACAGACTCCGCGTTGCAATCTGCATCAGCTGAAGGAAGGGGTCATAATGCCATTTCTCCGCGTGGAAGAGGCGTGCCTATTTATTGCGCCCTGGCGGTCTCTTTCGTGGCATTGTTCGGGTTTAGATAACTTACTTCCAACTTGTGCTTGGGAAAAAACGAACACTGATACTTTAAACCGTGTTCTGTTGTAGGGGAGATTTGATTTGGATGCGTGCGCTTTTGTGAAGCAGCTTTGTCTAATTGAGCAGACAGAATGTTTAAAAAAGTTTTATTTGCACTGAAGCGTTGTTTGGCGTCCTTAATGCGGTATCTTAATTTTTAATTGCAGCCATTATGCAACTTTATTTTCTTAAGCTCTAATGTTTTGTTGTTAAAAATTTTTTTCTGAGATGCCTTTTGGTCGAGTTTTATGTGCAGCATGAAATCACCGTAGGGAAGCAAATTCTAAAGACACCAAAGGAATATTATCGTTTAAATTACAGAAAGCAGTTCCCCTCTTTAGGATGGCAGAATGAACTTGAAAAGAAGAATGTGGTAGACACTAAAAATCAGGGAACCCTCTGTTTTTTTCCTTCTTTAGACATTTGCAGATGTCACTGGTAATCACCAAAGAGCAGAGGTGCACGGTCCAGCGCTCTGAGCCCTGGAGTCGAGTGACAGGAATACCGCACCCTGCTGAGTGCAGAATGCCATTGAGCTGTAGCAGTAGTTCCTTTACTTAAAGCCGCGTCCCCAGCACTGTGGATGGATAGCGGTGTCAGCTTTCATACTCTGGAGATTTGGGGGTGGGGGCGGGGAGGAGAGGAAGGTGCAGTAGTGAGGAGTTTTGGGGTGTTTGTTTGTTTTGGAGTACCTAGTAGCGAACTATGATCTCTAATAGAATCCTCACTGGCCCAGAAACTGCTGAGGAGCCATTTTCCTTTCCTCACAAATTGTTTTCCGAGTTAGGCTTACTTCACCTCACTCTTTCCCAGATTCAAACAAACAAAATAAACCAAGAACGACCTTTTAGGTGTACACAACTTCATTTAATATTGGCATCCACTTTAATCGAGACATAGACAAGTTGAACACGGAGAATGATCGTACAAAACGCGAGGAGGTAACAGGTATGAGCTTGTGGTCCTCTGAGCTCATGGTAATATTATTTGTTAGACATGCTGTGTATAAACTATATGAGCCAAGAAGGGCGGAACTTAAGGCATGGGGACATTTAGGAAATTGGAAGGAAAATTAAGTGTTTGGAAGTCAACGTTAGAAAATGAAAAGAGACAGGAATTGGAAAAATGGATTTAAATTCATTTAAATCCATGCAGAATAATGATAGTAATTCTCTTGTATAGGTAAAGTGTCTTTGTTTTAGAAAGCTATGGGTATTGATCCTTACAGAAATGCATTACATAATTATGTTTATCCTGTTTTATTTATCCTATTTTAAAAAATATATGGATAGACCAATGAAATAAAATAACTTTCTGAGGTCAACAGTAAGTTATTACCTAGAATAAAACTATACAATAACTTTTCTAACAGAAAGTGTTTCATTCTATATGTTTGTATTCCTTCTACATGTTTTTCTAAAATAAGTGGAAAAATGCAAGACCACAAGGGAGTGATTCCCATGCAGTTAGGGAGTGAGTTCCATGTCTCTATGCAGAAGAGGGATTGACAGTTCTTATGTTAATGAACTCCATTGATGATTTCTCCCAGTGGGCCCCAGATTTATCTCTAATCCATGACTGAATCTAAATTCATTTTGAAAGATTATTCTTAGCTGTGTCACCAATTTCCCTTAAAAATTGAACAATCCACAATAAAAGTTCCTTAAATCCCTGCTGAATGAATTATTGTCAAAGCTTTGAGTTTCCTAGAAGTTTCTTGGAGTCTTAGAAATGGTCATGGCAAATGCAGGTGCTCTGAAGCCTAAAGAATAAAAGGTGCTTTATTCCATTCTGTCTTCCACATTTGGGCCTAACCTATAGAATCTCAGCAGGGCTTTTAAATTGGAGATTTTCACTGTTACCGTTGTGTATTTTCACCTCACAAAAGAAAGGATGATAGCAGAATTGCGGTAAATATGGTTTCTATTTTTTTCTTCAATGACTTTTCAGCTAGCCCAGTACACTAGGCTGTATTCCTTTTTAGTTGTGTGAATAGCCACTGCAAATATGATCATGGATTCATATTCGGATCTTCTGTACTTTGAAAACCACCTGATGCCAAGGATCTTCAAAGCCCTTCTTGCTTAAAACAGATCTTACTAACTTGTTTCTACCTTCAGTCTTTATTTTCCTTAATATAGTTCCTTTTAATGATACTCTTAAACTCAACAGAGAATGTTAGCATAAAATATAAAGGAAAAATAAAAATAATGAATCCTTCACTCCTTCTGAGACTACCAACAAAAACTCCTTTACCAAATGATTTTCACAGTTGGGTTTATATTTTCACCTATTGCTTGAAGGAGGAAAGGACTCCCTCATTTTTTAGTGTTCTTATCATATTCCCCCTTTAAAGTTCATTTGGCTATCCTAAGGAGGTTCAGGAAGAGAGAGTGATCATTGGTGATTCTTGTTTTATTCCAGAAGGTAGATTTAGTACCTGTACTACAATCCAAAGAGAGTGGATTGTATTGAATTTTATAAAAAGAAAAAAAAAATGCTTGAGTAACTAATGGTGGTGTTTAGTAGTGGCTGCAGGTTGAATTCCTTTTGATCTCTTTCATTCATTTATCAGACACCTATTAAGTACCTACTTGTGTCAGGCAGTGTCCTGAGCACTTTATATGCAATATTCCATTTCACAAGGACTTTATTTATGTACAAGTACTACTATAACCCATTTTATAGATGAGGAGGGAGCTGAGGCAACATATGTATTAGTAATATCTCCAGATGCCTTCTTCAGTTAGCTCAGTTTTTCTTTCTTCACCCCATTCCAATTAAAGTTATGATTCTCCCTCTATAAATTACTACTTTTTTTATCCATCTATATACCTATGCGAGCTAAATATTGTGAATACTGTGATCATCTCATTTCTCTTCAGTAGTCTCCCATTTTCTCCTGAGAAAACTTCAAACCCTAAGTCATGTAATCAGAATCTCCCACCATGTGGCAGACTGCTACTTGCCTGCCTTAACTATAGAGCATCTAATTTGGGAGGG